AACACCAAAAACATCAACAAACAGTGGGTTTCTCTAAAAATCCAAGTTAACAGCCAGTTCCGCAAGCTAGACTACGCCAACCTCTGGCAAACCTTTTTGACGAAAGTCCCATACAAGGAGGACTTCAAAGATGTTTTACATCTAGTAGAGATCCTTCTTGTTCTGCCAATTTCTGCAGCTCAGTGCAAGCAGGCCATCTCATCCCAGAATCGGATCAAGAGCAGTACCAGAGCAAGTCTAAGTGTATCGGCACTAGAGGACTTGATCCGTCTATCATCCGAGGGTCCATCCATGTCTGAGTTTGATCCAGCTCCTGCAGTTGATCATTGGTTTGCGAGGGACAAGTCCAAAGGAGAACGCACAACGAGACCTCACTTTTTGAACAATAATTAATACGTAGTTATTTCTTTATTTCTCGTATTTAATGAATTGATGTAGTCAGACACTGAGAACATTTCAGGTATACAAACATAGGCACTGTGAGATTTCATGCAAATAGTGCTGCATTTCATACGTAACTAGACTAATAACGTGCGGAATACTTAACAAATCAAGTAGAATCTCGACTTAGAAAAAGCCAGTGCCATCAGGTTGTTTAGCTGATTGTCAAATTTCTGAAAATCAGTTTGCTACTCCATAATATGCAGGGACTCAAAAGGATAAAGTGACTAACAAAGTCTAGTGCAATTTAGTGAGGTCAAAAAAAATGAGTTCTCTGTAGGAGCACGAACGAGACCTGGAGTTTGTGTAGTAATGAACTAGTTCTATTGACTTTCTTTTTCTTTAGTGAAACCTTTACCGGCAAATTATAGTTATTGATCATTACATAACTACCAAAATGATTAGGGCACAAAACCTCTACCTCCCCCTTCCCACACAGTTGCTAGACTCGACCCAGGCTTTCAACTAAAACAAACATGGCAGCAGGTTTTCGTAGAACGTGGTGACTGACAATGGGAAACGCTGCATCATGAATATTGCGAAACTATTTGGTCTTTCATGGGAAGATAAACTTTCCCCTATATTATCATACAATATTATAGAAATTAGTTTTGCAGTGCATAAATATTAGAGGAACAAGACTAAAACAATGGTTGAAATTTGTCACATTTGCAGATTGTGGAGAAAAAGTAAGTACTTAATAACATATATTTGAATGACTGGTAAACATTAACATAATGTGTGCGTTCAATGTATTTCAACTTGTTCATTTAGAGTAGTTCGGTTTTGTTTGTACATGATTTAGCTGATGAATGAGCACGTCTGGAGCAATTATACTTCTTTCGTCCTGTATCAGTGGACAGTTACATTTCTTTGTTCGGAAACAAAACGATTCTATTTCACCCTCCTTGGTTCGATAGCGCTTATATTGAAGCTGTTGGAGTAATAAAATCACAGTGTAAATTTAAAATGACAATTCTATTAATAATATTAATTGGTAACTCATTAAACTCGCGTGTTATATTAACCTTGTTTTGAGTAGTTGTATTTAACTTTTTTTGCGACTAAATTTTTGGAACTAGTCGCAAAGTTGCGACTTATTTTTTTTTTAATTTCAAGCCCTGATATCCCAGAGTTTACGTTCGGAGATCTGTACAGTTATCTGGTGGGAAGTGAGGAATAATCAGAGGAAAACCTTCGTTCATTTAAAAGTCTCTTTGGTTATAAGTTGTATTGCGATGACCATGTTAGAAAACAGAAAATTCTTTTTCTTAAAATTTAAAGTTAAGTCAACTGAGAGAGTAGAAACAGAAGATGGACAGACTACTTACAATTGCTTCATAATTTTGAAAGCTAGTGGAGAGGTTCACTCTGCTCATTGCCCTTATGAAGGGGGAAGTGATGGCTGTTNAAAAAGCGGCAGAAATGAAGCAAGCGAAGCTTGAAGATACTGTTGAAGACTACAACAAACTGCTTGAAGAGAAATTACAGACAGAGGATGGTAAACTGTCAGACCCGAAGACCTTAACTGCTTGGACCAACAACTTTTCGGATATCCCAGAGTTTACGTTCAGGGATCTGTACAGCTATCTGGTGGGAAGTGAGGAATAATCAGAGGAAAACCTTCATTCATTTAAAAGTCTCTTCCGTTATAAGTTGTATCGCGATGGCCATGTTACGGATTTTAAATTTAAAGTTAAGCCAACTGAGAGAGTAGAAACAGAAGATGGACAGACTACTTACAATTGCTTAATAATTTTGAAAGCTAGTGGAGAGGTTCACTCTGCTCATTGCCCTTATGAAGGGGGAAGTGATGGCTGTTGTAGGCACATAGCTGCCGTGTTAATTGATCTCCAGGTAACAGTAACAATATGACTACTTGTACCTCCAGCAAATGTGAGTGGAAGAGGAGAAGTGGGAACAGTGACTATGCCACTCCTTTAAAGGATTTACGAATTGTGAAGGC